CTCACTACTTCCTCCTCTCTCTCTCTCTCTCTCTCTCTCTCTCTCTCTCTTTTTAATAATAAGGATAATCAGGAGAGGAAGAAAATTGAGATAAAAATTCATGACAGAGATTCTCAATGGTATATATACATATATTTAAAGACATTTACGCATCTGTATTTAAACAATAAATTGACTTTGAAGATGGTACACGCGTGGCGCATGTTAAACAATTTTAATTAGCGTAAATATTCAATTCATACTTTTTTATATCATACACATTCCGCTACTAATTGCACAATCCGCTAGTAATTTGACATATTTTCCATTTTTATCTTAAAGATCGAGCAATTTCTATGTCAGACAATATTCTCTCGGTTAGAGAAAAAGCACGGTGATTTGGCATATTACCGTATAACAGTTTTGCAAGATTATTTTTATTTGTCTTATCTTTCGAGAGATATGAAACTTTAAAGAAAAAACGTTAAAGGATTAGTAGAATTATTAGCATATTTTGAAAATTTAGTTTTTCTATTTCTTTTTTATTTTAAAAAGTTTGATATCTCAGATAACAGAAAAAGAGAGGAGACTCGATATTCCGTATTTTATACATTTATTTACAGGCTAATTTACACGATTGTTTTGATATCGTCACTGAATTACAATAAATATGCGTGAGATAATCTCAGACAGCTACGAGATGATTGATAAATTCAGTTATCTAATGTAATGGGTGTTAATGTAATTTTAAAGAAATAATTTTTTATACGCATGAGATACTCGTAGATCCAGATGTAATTGAAAGACTTAGAAGTAACACCGTTAAATTAAAGTGCTTTTGCAAATAAGCTAAGAAGAAGCTAGAAAGCATGATAAATCGTTAATAATATTTATTAAAGACATACTTGTTTTGAACATATTTTTCAATTTTCTATTCTAAAAAATGCAAGACACATCTGGATTGAAGAGCGCTATATTATTTAATAAATAAATGTAATCTAAAAACATGGTATATGTATATACAATGTTTGTTCAATATATACGGAAAGAGCAGTTTTACTGAAATAATAAAAATTTGATCGAATATTTATCTAAAAATAATTTTGCTCGTCACAATAATTATGACGTTTAAAATAATTGCTAGAACAAAAAAATTTTTCGCAGTATCATCAACATGCTTAAACGTTCTGCATAATAATTTTGATGATCATAATGATTTATTTTCAGATCTGTATCTAGTCAAATTTTTAAATATTTTCACAAAATCACTGTTTCCGTACTGAGCATGCTGTTATCCCTAAGTCCTTCAATTCATGTCTCGGACTGAATCATAAATTTTCCAAAAAAGTTCTCTCTCAACTACCGAAAAAAACGTATCATCATTTTTCGAACGATGATATTTCGCATTGAAGTGCGTGATCATCTGCATTTCAACATGAAACGCTAGTTCGGTACTTCGAGAGTAGTCTATCGCTTCACTTTTCATCCTTGATTTTCGAGATTTGACTCGGCTCGAAGTCGGGCGTGATTGGGCTTTGTACCTGAACGTGGGTGGCGTGTAGGGGTGGGCAGAGTAGCGGGTGATACGGCAGACAATAATACGGGAAACCGCCGAGCGTTTTGTTTGCGGGATGAATTTGCGTGCTCGACATCTGCCCGGGAAGCTGTCCGGAACCACGGAGAGGCAACCCCCTCAGATGCTCGTCGGGATGTACCAGGACGCGCACAGCCACGCGCCTGGCATTTCCAGAGTTTACGAGGGCGCCTAGTTCCTGCTGCTGGCGTCGCTTGGTCTTATACCTGAATTCGGATAACGACAGTCAATAAAATCGAAATTAAAAAGGAAAAAAATATTTATTTGTAACAAAATCGAGATTACTTTCTTCAGTTATTATGGTTCGGTTGTTATTATTATTATTATTATTATATTTGGTTGTTATTACTATAATAACTTTCCGTTATTTTTGTACTAACAAAGTAAAAGAAATAAGGTATATTAGATAAAAGACCGCACCGTCGATTTTGAAACCAGATTTTCACTTGTGTCTCCGTCAATTTCAAGCCACGTGCCAGATCTGCTCTCTCGGGACCCGACAGGTATTTTTGAGCGGCAAATCTTCTTTCCAGCTCGTATACTTGCGCGTGCGAGAATGCCGCCCTGCTGCGCTTCTTTCTGTTTTGTAAACTTTGGCCTGAATTTTGCGACTCGTACGCCTCGTCCTCCGCCTCATCTGTAAGAGAGGTGAACAAACTTCTATTTCATAAATGAAATTGCAATTTGTCACATGGTATATGGATAAACTTAAATATTGATAGAATTGAAAAATTGAAGCTGTGTAATAAATATAACTTTTATAGAATGTCAATTTTATCGATCACGGTATTCGTGTCAAATCATTCTAATTTATAAAAGGAACAGAGCTTTTAAGTTTTTTTGCATATCAACGAAGTCGGCGGAGTCTCATTTTTCGCATAATGCGGGCATGCCGTTGAAACTCGTTTGCGGATAAATATTTAGTTTTGCGCGAGAATCTGCAACTATACTGTAAAGCAATCGTTTAGCTTGAAAATCAGAGTAACCATCAGTGAGCGGCCATAGAGACGATGAACGATCGGAGAGAGAAAGAACGAGAGAGAGAGAGAGAGA